CCACAGGTCTTAAAGTCACCAAGTTTGAGGAACACTGATCTAGCCTGTTGCCTTCTACAGACCAGACACTCAAATTCCAACTAACGGGCATATTGAAAATGGCTCAAACGATACAAGGATTCCATGGATGGGAGCGGGAAGTCTCTTATTCAGTTTCACTGGATTTATTCTGGCAGAGGCATGGAGTGATTTTTCAGGTATGAGATCCCTGCTGAGTGAAATCTTTCTCCCCAACTTGGAAAGGGGTTTTATTTGCAGTATTTGAATAATCCACAGGGTGTCACCACCCACAGAACCGGCTGATTTTCAAGCTGCTGAGTCTTCAAGCCTGTGCAAAATTCAGCCTCCCTCAAATACAGATGGTGGACAGGGGTTTTGAACTTCTTTTAAACTTTGTTCCCCCCCCCCCCGGCTGCTGCTGAAGTCAGAAAGAGGTGGGTTAAAGGCAAAAGATTGGAAGAGAAACCATACTTATCTATATTATTTTTAGCAGTTTTTTCCCCTTTTTGTGTTTAGTATTTATATATAACACAGTGGAGATTTTGGCACTAAGTTCAGCAATGTTTACTTTTTTTTTATACCGTAAAAGCAATTCAAATTTAATTTAGATTTTAAATTCTGGGAGTTGAAGTTCACCCAGCTTAAAGTTGCTGAGGTTGAGGAACACCGCAGACTAGGGGGGGAAAAAACTTCTGCTACTGCTGCTTTTTCAGCAAAATAGGAATTTTAATTTTCTTTTTTTGGTTTGCTAAAAGGCAAACTAGACCCGGCTGTCGCGCTTCTCTTTCTGATGGTTCTCGGTCATTGATTGTAATTGCTCCGTCTAAAAGCTTATTCGGGTAGAATGTGCAGGACAGCCAATCAGAAGGGAGGGAGGGCGCACGCGCTCTCCGCCCCCTAGGCCTCGCCTCGCTCAGCCGCGCTGGCGTCACTCGCTGATCGCGTCAGACTCGTCCCCGCCGCGTGCCGGCTGAGGAGGAGGAGCAGCGTCCGTCCGGAAGAGTCGAGGCGGGGCGGGCCTTAAATCGCCGCGGCCACTCCTGGAGTTCCTGCCCGCCCGGTCGCGAGACGATGGACAGGTGGTGCACCCAGTCAGAGCGCGGGGGCGCACGAGCAACCAATCGGGGCTCGAGGGAGG